TAGAGGGGCCTTAATAATTAGACCAGGGTTCTTGGGTTCCTTATTATGACTTTAGTATAATATACCCCAAACCCTATTCTGATTATTAAGGCCCCTATAGTATCGAGGTTCAGGCTTTTGGGTTTAGGACACCACAACAGCCTAAAGCACGATCTTTGGCACAGCCCACACTCCTGCAAAACGCGACTTTCAAATCAAACACACTCCTCAGTCCTTGCACATCATTCTGGCCGCCTAAACTAAACACAGTAAGTCCTGAAGCCGAACTCCTAAACCGCACTATTTAGCCCCATCTCCTAAATCCAGGACACCTGAGTTCTAAACCCAAAAAACAGTTGGAATCATGTGCTCTACATCCCAAAACCCTTCGGTTTCGGGCTTAGGGCTTTACCCCATTCCTAAAGCCCCAAGACCCCAACCCGAAATCGCCAACCGCAACAGGACAAGTTCAATACCCAATCGAGACGGGCACAAGTTCCCATGCAGCTCTGCCCTTGGGGTACTGCAGCCTTACGCAGCCATGTCAGCGCTGCCAGGGTTTGACTTGCAGGACTTTAAAAGGGGTTATGTATGATAATGAGAATGTCTTTATAGGTCTTAGAAAAGCTTTTCTGGTGGGTGTCTGAGGTCTGGCGTTTTATTGTCCGGGGGTTGGGCCTTGGGGTTTCGGGGGTTGTCGGTCTGAGGTTGAGGATGTAGAGGTTTCGTTGTTCGGTTTCGGGTATGTGTTTTGGCCTTCTGATGTTGCCCTCCCCCACACTGCCACGGAACCCCCGATTGCTCCACCCTAAACTATGGGGATTATGGTACATTCCTTATTAAAGGTAATGCAGGATTTATATCATCAACGGTGGTTGAGGTTCCATGTTTGATTTCGGGGAACCCTCGACCTCAAAGGTTCAACCTGAAAGCCCTAAACCCCAAACCCTGGAATCTAAACTCAAACCCGTAAAATGTAAGGTGAATGTTCTGACTTGTGCGGTTTTGGTTGGAGGCTCAGTATGAAGGTTTTGGGGGGGGTGACGGAATCCTAAACAAGATTTTGGGTGCTCCTTAATATGAACTTCTGATAGTTTCCTTTACAGGGCAGGGTTTTCGGCGGGCCGTCTATGTAACACTGTAAGGGTTAACGGTTCAAGGAATATGTCCCTAAACCCTAAACCCTAAACCCTAAACCCTAACTCGGGCTCGTAAGATTCAGTGTCGGAAGGATCAAAGTGGGCGTTGGGGCCCGGGAACCCATCGCAGCCCTTGGCGGTTCGGTCTTGGCAGGCGGGTACCCCTCCCTGCGATTATCTAGCGGGTTTAGGCTTTAGGGGCTTAGGGTTTTGGGTTTTGGGTTTAGGGGTTTGGGGTTTAGGGTTTAGGGTCTAGGGTTTAGGGTCTAAGGTATACCTAGAGTCTCCAGTGTAGTTCCTTTTTTTTGGTTTTAACCAAGTATATATTAAGGATTCTAAAAGGTATCCCCAAAAAGGAACTACAATGGAGACTATAGGTACCTGGTGAGCCCAACATTGTTAAGAGCGCGGGGCTTTTAAGGTTTGGTTACTTCTTGTCCCCCGGCTCTATAAGTTCTATGTCTGTAATCTTTTCAACCCAAATCCGGCACCTTCATCCCTCAAGACCGCTGTAAGCGCTTGTGCACTGCACCAAAATTGCTATGTTCTGCGGAATACTCCTACTACATAGTAGTAGTAGTCGTCGTCGTCGTAGTAGTAGTAGCAGTAGTAGTAGTAGTAGTAGTAGTAGTAGTAGTAGTAGTTAGTAGTAGTAATTAGTAGTAGTAATTATTGTTAGTAGTAGTAGTAGTAGTAGTAGTAGTAGTAGTAGTAGTTAGTAGTAGTAATTAGTAGTAGTAATTATTATTAGTAGTAGTAGCAGTAGTAGTAGTACTAGTAGTGGTAGTAGTAGTAGTAGTAGTAGTAGTAGTAGTGGTAGTAGTAGTCGTGGAAGTGGTAGTAGTAGTTAGTAGTAGTAGTAGTAGTAGTAGTAGTAGTAGTAGTAGTAGTAGTAGTAGTAGTAGTAGTAGTTAGTAGTAGTAATTAGTAGTAGTAATTATTATTATTATTATTATTATTATTAGTAGTAGTAGTAGTAGTAGTAATTAGTAGTAGTATTATTAGTAGTAGTAGTAGCAGTGGAAGTAGCAGTGGAAGTAGCAGCAGCAGTAGCAGTAGAAGTAGT